TATATATATATATATTCAATTTTTTTTAAATTTTAAATGGCATTAGCGATGGAAATTTTGAAGGAAGTCTATTGCTGATTAGCGACGGATTCAATCCGTTGGTATTTAGCGACGAATACAATTTGTTGGTATTTTAGCGACATATTCAATCCGTTGGTAATTTCCGACGCAAATGTTGTCGCTAAATCGTTGGTAATTAGCAACGGATTCTTTACCCGTAGGTAAAATTACCCGTGGGCATTTTAGCGACGGATTTATCGACGGCAATTTTCTGTCTCTAAAGCTTGTTTGCGACGGAAATCAAGGCTTCAGCGACGGAAATTTTCGTCTCTGTAGCTGCATTTTTTTGTAGTGTTTGACTTGAAGAGATGGAAGATATTACTAGTGAAGAAAATAAAATATGAAGAGAAGGTAGTTTAATTTTCTATTATTTGGTTTTGATGAGATACTAGATTGAAATGGAGTTTGCTTTTCCAGTTCAGTATCTGGTAATACAAGATTTAGCGGAAGAGAAAAACTTAAAATACATTCCCAAGCCTACTCCTTCATAGTTGGATCATGTCAAATTCGGGAAGTTGCATATAGGGCTATCCATTTTTATATGTTACCCCACTTCCCCAAAATGGCACCAATCAATACTTTGGTAGTACGTAATCAACAGTGTAGAATTTATCTACTCCATTTATTCATCTCCGTTGTGGTTGACTTCATTCGTAGCTTGATTGGGGTGTCCACAAGGATGACCAAGGCCAAGGTGGTGATCAACACGCCGAAAACGTGAACAAAATTGAAGTTTCTTGGCAGCATCTTCTTTGTGCAATAAAGCTTTTGATTGACCCCTATGCATATTAAAGGACTTTTATCACCTTTTCTTAACCCACCTCGCTCATATTTATTACCATGAATATGAATGGATAGGCAAGTCCAAATGGCGTGCTCCTCCATATTTGTTTTTGGCTTAGATTGTGGGGTAATTAGGAGAATGGTCTATTTCACCAAGTAGGGTAAGTAGACATTGAACCAGTTCGGCTCTTTTCTTTCCCAATCATCTCAAATATGGACACCTTTTGAGGTTGTTCTGTTCTTCTCTTTTTGAGGTATAAATCAATATTATGATATTACTCTCCTCTCTCTTGTTCTCTCCTGGCATTAGATTATTGTTGACTTTTGCTGTGTCATTCAAGATATTGAATGCATTTCCAGTGATATATGATAAGTGTATATTTTATACTTATTCGCAGCGCTAAATTATGTTATTTTTATTGTCTTTTGAATAAAATTATACCTAATTTATGTTAAATTGTATTTTGTAGGTAAAACTTTATATTTATTGAAGAAAATAATGCAAAATAGCGGAAACATGGCAAAATCTAAAGTACGAGGACTAAATTGGCATGGGTAGAAGAAAAAAATTTATTTTAAGGATTAAGTTCCAGTACATGAAAGTTTTTGGGCTTGAAAAGAAGAATGAAATTAATTAGGTATTGAAATTTTATTGGGCCTCAAATTGGACTAGACATTGGCTGCTGGGAATATATATATATATATATATAGACCACATTCACGTAGAGATGAAGGAGGAGAGAGAATATACAAAGTCACGCAACACACAGGCGGTTGCTTCGATAAAAACACAAATAAAGGTTGAAATATCTAATATATATCGAGACACCTATAGACCGGCAGAGGAGTGAAGTCATCAATTGCGGCTGAATTTCTGTAATATATATACATTCACACACGACAGCAAGGTAGAGAAAACGTGGGCTAATTTTGCCATTTATATATATTACTAGTTGTTGCATGGTTGCCCATGCAATGCATGGGTTGTCTTATTTTTGAGGTTATGTTAGTGAATATATAATAAATGAAATTAGGAATATGAACTTTATTTAAAAAAGTAAATTTACACTTGACACAATAATATATTTTCTAGGAACAAATAATAACTAACATGTTATTGAATAAAAACTTAAAACTCAAAATGAAATGGTTACACAAGTACCTGTTCCGATTGAAGGAAGAATAGATAGAGCTAGCACTGTTGTGATGAAAATTCTGAACAAGAGATATGGAACCATGAGAAAATTATCATGAACAAGGAAATTTATCTTCAAGTTCCTAGCTTGATTTTGAATTAAAATTTCCTGCAAGATTAATTTGGTAATGAATATGAGTTTTACTTGTCATACCGAAGGGCCAAATGCTAACTCTTGCTTGCAAACATTGGTAAGTATCTCTCCATTCTACCTTGTGTTTGAATCTAGCCTTCCTGCAACTGCATTTGTTGATCAATATTATTAGGACTTCAAAATCTTGGGCTATTGAGATACAAGGAACAATTACTATTACTTCTTTGGTATGTAAAACCTCCCTTTTAAATATCTGAGAAGGAAAACAGAAAGAAGTTGATGCCAGTGGTGCTGTAATATTCATGAATATAAACTAAGGAGGAAAATATAAAAAGTAACTCCTATGTTTAGTGTTTGCTATTGGGAAGCTTAATGAATTGCTTATTTTCAAAAAAATGTTTAGTGTATGTGGGGGCAGTACCATGAAGCTACTGTAGACAATACCATGATTAATAGTGCCAATTTTATAAATCATGGAAATGAAACTTTTTAACTCACTAAAGTGTATACACATACCAAAGAAGTTCTAGTACACTGTTCACTGCCTTCTTTCAGCAACTAAGCTACATATAAAAAAATAAGTAATTATGCTCAAAGTGGTTTTCCAATAAATATAAGTGATTGGAAAGGAATAGAAACTCAAGAATGTTTTACCATGTTACAAAATGACTTGTGGTTTCCTTCCTACTACTTGCCATCACAGAACAAGTTCGGCATATTGAAGGGCTCGAGCTTCGACATCAAAATTCCCTAGGACAAAACATAATTAAGAATCCATTATAAATGAACAAGAGAAAACAGTAAGTACAAACAATGCACACACATCAAGGACAGGAATAAAGCAACATGTATTTATTAACCAGAATTTATCTTTGAGACAAATCATTGAGTTCATACATGATTGAAATTCCACCTCTTCCTCGTGTACACTTGTCACTGAAAATATCCCCACAGTTTTGATAGTGGCACTGTTGACAAGAAAAGAAATGAAAGAAGATCAATTAAGCTTTATTCACAATACCTACTGCTTTGTAAATAGTGAACAGAAAAGCAAATGTTAACCTTTCGATTAAAAGCATTAAAATCACTTCCACAAGATGTGCGCTTGGTTAATGGTTCATTGAGAACCTAACAGATAGGAAAAGACATACACACACATATAAATCTCAAACGATAATCTAATTGCAGTAGAATCCAATTTTACATAGAATCTATAACAATATAATAACTTAATTAATTCAAAAATACAGTCTAACCCAGTGATCTTTCTCCAAATTATCAGACTTTATCAAGTTCTCCCAATTAATGAACCATTTCTTCCTCTCCACTAATTGCTCATATCCCTTTATTAGATCTGAAGGATTGCTACTTCCACCTATCTCCTTCACCTGTTCACATACATCAAATATATGCAGTCCCACCATATCAATGCATGATAAAAATATCTCATGTAAAAAATTAATGATATTTATTTCGAGACTTTTGAAACATTTATTTTATTTCATTTTTATCATATTTTTTACTGTTTTCAATCATCTATAAGTCAATCATTTGCATCTCAATGTAGAAGTTATAGAACTAAGCAAGGAAAATGGTAACATTCAGACATTAAACCCATACTTCAATTATAGACCTTCTAAGAAAATCCATACTTACATAAGTTGCAAGAACATAATCAAAATAGTACCAGTTGATTAGACATTTAAGCAATTCTTCAGTTAAGTTAATTTGCAAGGTACCCACAAAGAATTGACATAACAATCAGAAATCTGTGCAGACAATCAAAAATCTGTTTCTCTTTTGTTCCCTTCCCCACCCTTCTTTTCAGAGTACTCTACCCCAAATTATACATGATAGGAACCTACATGTTATATATTTGCAAAGCACATAAACTGCACTGACAATTGAATCATGGACCTATTGTGCTTGCTAAGCGTCAAATTATAAAAAGCTTATTGGCATTGGAATTTGATATGATATTTAAAAATAAAGTTAAAACCGTATTCTTCAATTTTACCACAATTTCTACAGGAGGGATCAGTGTCTCCCAAGTTACCAAAAAAGAGGGCTACTTAAGATTTGAAGAAGATAGTAGAAAGAAACTCTGCCACAAAGCTTCCACGAAGGTGACTATCTCTAAAATATTATAACATTAAAGAACTTAATAGGTAAGTCATCAAAACGTAAAAACACTACCTTTTGATTGCAAATTTGATAAACCGTTTAAGTCTTTTGGGAGTTTTTTACTACAAGAAAACTTCTCAAAAAAGCACAAAATAAACTTTAAAGAGTAAGTGTACGACATGTGCATGATAAACATCTTTTTCTAGATCATCAAAACCAATAGAAACATCTCTAAGAGAACTTTACAATTACTATTTTTAGGGATACGTGCATTTATCAAGTTTTATAATGGGAAGGATATCATGTAAAACATTAAAGTTTATGAATATTTCAGCGTCATCTTTTGATAACATTTCTAACCTAATTTAGAGTGAAGCACATCATCTTATGTCGACCACCTAAAAGCAAAAGCTAAGATGATAAAGTAATTATTAAAAATCATATGATAAGAACGTTACCTGTCAATACATAATGTAGACCATCTGAGCTGGATGTATCTGTAGTTTCAGCTATTCGGTTGAGATCCGTTTGGAGTGATCTCCCCATCCCCAACAACCCAACCTTTAGATATAAATAATAAATAAAAAATTAATAAAACGATGGAAACAACCAATAAAATGAACCAATTGTACATAAGTTTTGTGAATGCCTAAAAAAGGGTCTCAACTGAATTTACCACCACCCACGAGTACATGAAACGGATTTGGTTTTGCTTCTTTCTAAAATAAATTACTCAAAATCTTCAA